TAATGATGGCATTGTTCCTAATATAAGTAGTTTTAACATACTTATTATAACTAAATTTAACAAATCCAGTTAATAACTAATTTAATTAACTTTATCTAACGCACCACCAACAATTTTCAGTTGTGAATATAAATTTATTGATTCTCTCTGTTTTGACAGAATTTCAATTAGGTTTCCTATCAAAAGATCAATGAATTTCATATGCTCACCTCTAATATCAACGTACAGAGAATGATTAAATATGTATCTGTAAACAATCTAGTTGTGAGTTCCAGCAAGTATCATTGGTTAGCTGTAACATCAGTCCACCTTTTTCCAATAACCAACCCTATAATAAATTTGTTTAAGAAAATTTAACAAAGAAATATTTAAAAATAATTTCGTTAAAATAAAGCCAGGATCTCTTTTGCCATCATTATCATTAGACTTATATCATTAACACAGCTGTTTTATTTCATAGTATTGTATTACAGAATATGACAAATAAGTAAATAACAATTTAGAATTTATTTCATACTTGTGGTTGGTGATGATTACAAAAATATTTATAAATTGCTATAATATGCTTCACTATAGACTTCGTAGAGACCAAAGTTTCAACCAAATTTAAAAAATGAGCAGAGTAACCATATGTTATCAATTTGTTATCAGAGTATCATATGTTATCAGGAGTTTCAGCCTGAAAAAGTTTTCTCATTTTAGTCATTTTATTTTCGTTGTCAGTATATATATATATATATATATATATATATATATATATATATATATATATATATATATATATATATACATATATATATATATATATATATATATATATATATATATATATATATACTATATATATATATATATATATATATATATATATATATATATATATATATATATATATATATATATATATATATATATATATATATATATATATATATATATATATATATATATATATATATATATATAGTATATATATGTATATATATATATATATATATATTAAATAAAACAGCAAACATCTAACACTTACATCTTTATTGAACGTTTCTTTAGCAATTTTGATTGCATCCTTAGCAGCTTGAGCGCAATATTCTGCTATTTTTGATTGGCTTCTAGTGTCAATTGCAAAAATGAGATAAGGTTTATTTCTTTTATGGATGATATGAGAAATTATATTTTCATTACTTAATGTTGCTCCAACCATATTGAATTCAACATGGTTGGAGTACATTCAAGAGAGTTCATAAGAGTTCTAAAGATATCTGTTTTCTATTTGGTGGCTCATATCCAGATCTAAGTTTTTAAATCATCTTCGTAAATTCAAGATTTTCTACTACGCTGAATGTTATATTTGCTTAAAAGAAAAACCTTGCAACTTGTAAATCTAGTTCATCCTTCTGATTACTTGTTGTTGTAGTAACAAATTTAGAAATGGATGTTTGCCGTTGCATCTTCATTGCAGTTGATTGCACGATTGACGAATAAGAAGAATCACTAATAAAGCTTAAACAATCTTGCTCATTATCTCTAAGCAGGTTAGACTTATTTGATGCTGCAGATATAGATGGCCTTGACTCTGAAACTGATATATCTCTTAACACTTCAGTGGAGTTATTCCTTTATTCTTTCTTCTGTATTTATCCAAATGGATCTTAACTCTCTTTATTTTTTTAATTATGCTTACTTTGCAACAACTACACATTACTCTATTTGGTTGATCACTTAATATGGTCACTTCATTCCACTTACTAGCCTTATTTCTTCGCCCTGAATGATACTTTGGCATGTTGAAGACATATAATCTACTTATATTTTAAATTTAACTTAAAAGATAGCTCTATTTAAAAATAGATTTATATTATAAAAAAATGCAATCTGATTATTAGTTTAGCTTTAGTAAAAGAAAATATACTTGTTAAAAATGAAAAATAGTTTTATTATATTATGTAATAAACGTTTTTGTCAACCCTGCTTCGTGGCCATATTTTTTTTGCATTTCGTTAATCAAAAAGTAAAGTAGTGTACATAGTAATGTAGTTATTACTGGTAATATAGTTATTAATATAGTAATGTAGTTATTGCTGAATAAAAATAGTAAAAATAAAAAAAATAAAAAAAAATTTATTATATTACTTGTTAAACGTTAAACAAAACCGTTCAAACCCGGTAATGATAAATTCTTGCATTTACCAAGAACCATATCACATCTACTTTTTGGAGTTGAGATGCTGATGCTTTAATTACATTAAATTACGGTAAAGATTGCACATTTATTTTACTATGACCGAATACACCATCATTTTCATAGATTTATATTGGCACATGAGCTTTTGCTGTGCAGTTTTTTGCTGAAGGAGCTTTTTTATTCATGGTATTTGATCTTCTTGAGTAACTGAACTTTTGGTGAATACAATTTGAATTATACCCGTTATGTATGTTATTACCGTCTAAAGTCTTTACACTTACATCAGCGTTATCTGCAAGATATTGAATAAATGCGCCAGTTAATAGTGGTAAGATAAAAAGTGGATGATGAAGAACTGATGATGCTGCATACATCACAGTGTCATTGTAAGATGTGCATTAACCAAAGACAAAATGATTTATATAAGGCGTTTTGAACCAAACCGTCGATGAAGAAATACTAACAAACCTAATTATGGTTTTGATATAAAATATCTGTTATTAACAACAGACATTCTGTGGCTGATAATTGTACACACTAATTTAGGATGTTCTAATTTAGTTCGTTTATTTTTAAAAATTACTCGCTCCAAGAAAAAAAGTCTTTAGAATATCGTTGGTAATATCTTCAAACATTCGACTAGGCGAGGGATAAATGGTATTATCAAAGACTAATGATTGGATGTCCTTTCAAATGATTGAGTCGTTCTTCCTCATTTATCTTGATTTTTTTTCTAATACCAAGCTTGGTTAAGAATATCGCAATAAATGTCAAGAAAACAAATCAAAGTTAATCTGTCCGGTTTTTCAGTGATGATAATTTTATCACCATATTTTGATTTCAATTGTATCTTTAACACTTCCAATAAAAATTGACAAACGATTTTCATAGTATCTAAATATTTTTTCATTAATTTCATAGTATCTAAATATTTTTTCTATCAAGTCATTTGTAGATTTATCTGCAGGACGACCAACTTTACCTCCAGTAGTTATTCATAGGGTATCTAGCCTTGGCAGCAACTAAATCATATTGATACTAAATACGTGCAGTAACATTTTTTGGCTACGTCATCAGACCAACTTCATCCAACTTTAATAATCAATTCTTTAAATTCAAGGGTAACAACTTTATAAATTTTACGCCTAACATTTTGCGCTTTTTTTTTTCAGTCTCTTCATTGTCGCAAAATCAATCGCTTCATCGTTTTTCAGCCTCTTCTTTTGTTTCATCGTAACAAAATAAACAATATTTTTTGAAATAAAAACTAAATTCAAATACGCGAGGTCTGGTAAAAGGTGAACTAAATTTGGATGTACTGACTTGATCCATGTGTTGCTGTCTTATAAATTTTATAAAAGTACTCTTCCGAGTATACTCGGAAAGTTACTCGGAATAGTATTGATAGAAATACTATTTCTATCAACACTAGAATCAATTAAATTTTTATTCCCCAATTAACACCTGTTTTACTTGCTGTTAAAAGTTTACTACAAATAAAACATAATTGTGACATTTTAAAAAAAGTTTTGAATAGTACAAATCTTTATGAGAAATATTTAAAAAAAACCAAACGTATAAACTGTAAAAGCCAGAAAAAAAATCTTCAAGACAAACTGAACGCGCATAACTTAGTTTAACGTGAGGAAACTTTTAGCGCCCATAACTCAGTAGAAAATTTAGTTTGAAAAATCGTGCAAAAGAATATTTAAGTAATGATCATGCAAAACCAGACAATTCCACTCCTAACATTTTACGTGCATTTAGTGCCCCAAGCATTGTGGATATGTTCTACGCGCCTTCAAATAGATCAGACGTGCATAATCAGACAGGATAAAGCATGATGAAATCGTTGATTTCTGCAGAATCAGTAAAAAAATGTTTTTTATTTTTCTCATTTTCCCGTAATTTTTTCAGAGTTGACTTATCTGGTTTTGCAGGTTTACTTCTCATCTGTTCATAACAGAAGTCATAAAAATGGCTTTAAAAGAAATTATATTTAAAAAAATTAGTAAATAAAAATTATACTAAAATAATACTATTCAATTGCTTTTTTTAACATATCACATTTATAAAAACCTAGTTTTAATTAAATGTAATTTATTTTAGAACAGCTAAAAAAATAAAACTCCTTAAAACTGTGCAACATTTTGTTGTTTTAATCCAAAATCAAAGAAATGCCTCAGAAACTTTTTTTGTAGATAGTAAAATACACTAGGGGTATGAATTACGTCATGGTATATGCCATAAATTAAGCCATGCTATATGGGGGATGAAGGAGGGAAAAGAGAAAGTGATTTTGCGACGACTTGTTGCTAAAGTGTAACGATGTTGTGAAGAGGGGAAAAGAGAGGTGAAAAACGATCAAAAATTGCGTGACAATTTATAGGCGATCCACAGAAAATTCTACATCCGTACTTTCTTTGCAGATGTGGAATCGGTGTGGACTTTTTACATTTTATTTTTAATAACTTTTCAATAAAATTTAATAATTTTCAGTTCTATGCAAATTATGACAAACCTACGACTATTTTTTCGACTATTTTGATCGAACTATTTTGATAAATTGCTGAATTGGATAAAATTGTTGAATTAAAAGATTAAAAAAAAAATAAGTAGTAAAAAATATACACCGAAGCGAAGAGTTTTTTTTTTCAAATTTACTTTAGCTATTATTTAGTATTGATATATAAGAAAAAAAATTACTTAAAATTATATAAAGTTTGAATTTATAAAGCATTATTAAATAATAGTTCGAATGAACGTTAAGTTTTCTGAAAATTTTGTACTAAACGTCTCGAATAAAAGAATAATATGGTCACACAACAAGTTTTCCGATCAAATGGTCACACATTCCACAATAAGGTCACAATTTCTTTATACAATGATTGATTTAAAAAATTAAATTTCAAGGGCTTCAGCACATTTTAAGACATTGATTAATAACATTTAACAAGTGAATGTTTTCGAGGGCAGCTGCAACTCTTTCTTTATCAGCTAGCTGTTTGTTAACTGTAAAAAAAAAATAATAATAAAAAAATAATTTCGCTATGATAATAAAAGCAGACATAAAATCACACAAACAATTTTCTATGATTAAAATATAATATTCGAAACCAATAAAATGATTTGATGACTAAAGTATTTTTTAAATAACAAAAGAAGAAATAAAATGAAATGACACAACAAAATTTTTCTCCTAACAAATTAATTAAATTTAGGCTCACCAGCTGTCTCTGAAACATGGGTTCCTGGCGAAATCATAACGTCAACCTGCAATTAATAATTTTCATGAAAAAATATCATAAATTTCGCAAAGCTGGGACATATATTATTAATCTAAATGGGATAAAGTCTCGAGACCAACAGAATAGAACATCATCAGAACAGAAACATCAATATTAAAACAAGAAAATAAAAATTTTGTTTTATCGCATTTCTCTAGTGAGATTCATAACAATAAGGTTATAAAAGTATAAAAACATAATATAAATTAATCATTAACTTATTTATCTAAACAGAAATTTAAACACTTGTACTCGTTATTTTGATAGCTGTAAATACTATTTTGATAGCTATAAATATTAATTTGATAGCTATAAATATTATTTTGATAGCTATAAATACTATTTTGATAGCTATAAATATTAATTTGATAGCTATAAATATTATTTTGATAGCTATAAATCCTATTTTGATAGCTATAAATACTAGTTTGATAGTTATAAATATTAACTTGATAGCTATAAATATTAATTTGATAGCTATAAATATTAATTTGATAGCTATAAATATTTTTTTATTGCTATAAATACTATTTTGATAGCTATAAATATTATTTTGATAGCTATAAATATTATTTTGATAGCTATAAATATTATTTTGATAGCTATAAATATTATTTTGATAGCTATAAATACTAGTTTGATAGTTATAAATATTAACTTGATAGCTATAAATATTAATTTGATAGCTATAAATATTAATTTGATAGCTATAAATATTATTTTGATAGCTATAAATGCTATTTTGATAACTATAAATATTAATTTGATATCTATAAATATTAATTTGATAGCTATAAATATTATTTGGATAGCTATAAATACTATTTTGATAGCTATAAATATTAATTTGATAGCTATAAATATTAATTTGATAGCTATAAATATTTTTTTATAGCTATAAATACTATTTTGATAGCTATAAATATTAACTTGATAGCTATAAATATTAATTTGATAGCTATAAATATTAATTTGATAGCTATAAATATTATTTTGATAGCTATAAATATTATTTTGATAGCTATAAATATTATTTTGATAGCTATAAATATTATTTTGATAGCTATAAATATTATTTTGATAGCTATAAATACTAGTTTGATAGTTATAAATATTAACTTGATAGCTATAAATATTAATTTGATAGCTATAAATATTAATTTGATACCTATAAATATTATTTTGATAGCTATAAATATTATTTTGATAGCTATAAATACTATTTTGATAGCTATAAATATTAACTTGATAGCTATAAATATTAATTTGATAGCTATAAATATTAATTTGATAGCTATAAATATTATTTTGATAGCTATAAATATTATTTTGATAGCTATAAATATTATTTTGATAGCTATAAATATTATTTTGATAGCTATAAATACTAGTTTGATAACTATAGATATTGTTATTAATATAAAAATATATTATTATAATATATTAATATAAAATAAATATATATTTATATATATATATATAAGTACCTTAAATCTCGAAGGTAACGAACGAAGTAAAAAAACACGTATGGAAAGCCCAATTAATGTTGCCATACTACAATGCGGAATGGTAGGGGTAAAGTAGACCTGTAGTGAGTTTTGCGTGTCGTCTATTTGTATATTTTTTTCTTCCACCACGTTTAGTTGCTCTAATGTCAAAGGATGTTCAGGATCGTTGATATAACGGATTAAATGTAAAAAAGTTAAAGATTTTTCAATCAATTTATCACATTAAATCAACAGATAAAACAGAAGATGTAAAAACAAAAAACAATAATTTTGAAGACGACAGTAATATATAATATTATGATTCAACATATACAACGTATCTAAATTTATTCGAACAAAATGTAAAAAATAAAAGATATCAAAAATTTCTCTAGCATCGAAACAATCATAAACTTCTTCATTTTTTTCTTCATCAGTGACAATTCTATCGCCAACACTCTCATAGATTTCTGGGTTGGCATTCTGGAGCCCACTCATTTTTATTATTGCTAAAAAAAAAAAAGAATGATGCAAAATAATGCAAAAAAATGATTTTTAATATAAATATTTTTGATAAAATTGTAGTAGTACGTAAATGTTATTTTTATTAAATATTTATTAATTTTACGAAATGTTTAAGATTTTTTTTTTTTTTCTGATTTCAATAAAAATACTGCACATAGATTAGAACAGACTTCACCCGACCTACCAAGTTTTTGCTAGAACCAGCGTAAAAGTCTAATTAGAAAATGTGACCAACATGAGTAATATCAAATACACTTAACGCCATCATGAACCGTTGTACGATTTGAAAATATACCGTTGCAAGCTCATGCAATTTCACCGATAATATTTATAATTTGCCGACTAAGGGTCTAATTTGCCTAAGGGGGTGTGGGGGTGTGACACCCCCTCCCCCTACACCACTATCGCGCCGGCCTTGACTATACGCACTATATTTTAACATATTATTTGTGCAAATATAAAAAATATGATATAGTTACAAATGTTTTTAAGTAATAAAAGTTTCATATGTTAATATATGAAATATATAACTTTTAAATTAAATCTAACGAGTATCCACATTAATATAATTACTTAGTTTGTGTTATAAACACATTGTTTAATTATTATTATTTCATTATAATTAAAATTATTTTCAGATTAATAAATGTAGCATGCTTGAACATAAAAATGCTTAATTTTTTATGTTTAAACTTAAAAATGTTGCACAAAAAAAAAATTATATTTAAATATTAAAAAAGTATAATAAAAAAAAAAAAAAATTCTATTAAAGAAAAATTGTTCAAAATTATCGGCTAAATATATTTCTTTCTGTTTTTAAATTTACAATATTTCTATATCATAAATACAAAAATACATAATTCAAACGCCATAAAAATAAAAAAATAACATTTATATTACTAGAAATTTCAAAACAAAAAAAAAAGTAATATTTCTGAGATATTAAATATAAGTTTAAATAATTTTATAATTATAAAAGCATAAAAAAATAATTATAATAATTTTAACTATAAAATACTTTTCCACCCGAATTTTGAAGAATCTAAGTTTCAGAAATTTATAATCATGTTCGAAGTAGTATAGTTAATAAATGCTATTTTAAGTTATTGTATGTAGATAAATTATTATATATATAATTTGTATTATAAAATATGTTTAAAAAACATCTAAAATAGTTTATAAATTAAATACGAAAATTTAATTAAAAGTTTCCTCATCTTCAGATTGAACTTCTGTTATAAGGGAAGTTAAAGCTATCGCACTTTCATCACTTTTTAACACAGAATATGCTGGATCTAAAAATTTAAAACAATGTAAAAATTGAAAAAAAAATTGAAAAAAAAACTAACAAATATTTTAAATCAATCTGCATTTTCAGGAGATTTACATTAAACTGAACTTTCTAGATAATCAAACTTATACACAATAGAATACACAATAGTATGATAAAAAAACAATTGCAACACTTACAAAAAACAATTGCAACACAACACGTTTACTATTTTTCATAGAAAAATCAAATTAAAAAAAACAGTTGCAACACTGTTGCTACTTTTGTATATACATTTTTAATAAAATAACAACTAGTTGGAAATAAAATAACGCCACCAAACTCAGCAAAGTTTTATTGAAAACGGTCCTTTATGCTCAAAAAACTTTAATTTATTTAGTTTTTTCTTTGAATATTGGTGTTTTAGATTTCTATCTTTTTTTACAAAAATATAAACATTGTTCTATAACATTCTTATTTATTTAGTTTTAACTTTCATCTTAATTACAGTGGCGGATTAAGACTTCTTGGGGCCCGGGGCTATTTTTGTTTTTGGAGGTCTTTCTATGGACCAGAGACTAAAAATGACTAAAAAAAAAAAAAAAAGGCCAATAAAATTTTTGGGGGACCCTAAATTTGCGGGGCCCCAGGGCTATAGTCTCCCCTAGTACCCCTTGATCCGGCACTGCTTTATTAGTGGTCGACTGTAGTCTTGTTGGGAGTGAGCTACTTTATTAAAAAAAAAATAATTGAATGGCTTTAGGAAAAAAAAAAGATTATGTTGGATAGTTACCCCAGTAACTACTGCGAAATTAATTCACAGTAGTTACTTCACTTAAGAAAAAGTTTTGCAATAATGCATAAAATGTTTTTATAATAATATTTGTTGATATCTGACCCTACTTCAGCTAAAATTCTACAGAATTATTTAACAAAATATTTAGGCTAAAATTCTACAGGACTAAAAAATGTTCAAAACTTTCGACTTATATAAAAAGAAATCATTTACTTTTTAACAATTTATTAAAGAAATTTAAAAAGAAAAAAAACTTTAAAACTTTTGAAAGGAAAACCGTTTACCTTTTAACAATTTGGATACAATATGAAGACTTATACCACGCATACAAATGTCTAATCCAATAAAATTAAACATGGTCCACTTATCGCCACCAAAATCAGCAGCAATAGTAAGTACACAAATTTCCTTTTGAAAAAAGTCAAAGGAGTGACACCAGTTTAAAAAAATAACACCAGTTTAAAAAAATAGCTATTAAAAAAAATCAAAGGAGTGACACCAGTTTTTAAATATAATATGATTAATAATTAAAATATACATATAGAACATACATAAACAAGTAAAGTTTTAAAAAACCATACTTTGATGATAATAATAAAAAATTTAATGATAATAGTTGTAGTAATCATAATTTAAAAAAATAAGAGTATATTTTAAAAATTAAGTGAAAATTATATCAATATATTAGAACAAAATTGTTTTCAGAAATTTTTAAAATTGGTTTTGTGAAAGATTAAGAAAATGTAAAGGTGTTTAAAGTTGTAGTTTTTTGAACTTATTCACTATGCATACTAGACTCTTGTTCCATTCACAAATGTACTGATAGACAACAGAATGTTTACCATACTTCTGAGTTTTAAAAGATGGTACATTAAGTTTCCCATTATATATGTTTCTAGTAGAGTATGTTTATATTATTCTAACTTCTGTAAAAAACTCTATTATAGAAGAGAGTAAATTTTTATTAAGAGAGTCAAAAACAAGAAAAATTAGCAAATTTTACAAGCGCTGGAAAGGTTGGAATTTTCAGTTTTTTGAAAGATTATGTTTCTGACTTTTTCTGACTATTTTTATTTGTTTATATTTTACTAATGTAAAGTGTTTGTCTTAAGTTAAAATAAATTAATTTATGCACACACTTTGATATTTATTATGCTCTTACATTAGTATACTTTATAAATTACATGTATAATAAATTTATTATGTTTTAAATAGTAAAGTAAAAATATAATAAATTTTTGAATTTAATGGTGTGTGCATAAGTTCTTTTATTTTAACTTTATCATTTTATTTAAATTACTGCATTATAAGCAAGTAAGTTTGACTGACAATATAAATAACGTTGTATATCATGCAGACAGCTCAGACAAAGAAGTAAGTTTTTGCTTAAATTTACAATTTATAAGTTATACCATATTTGTTGCTGTCTTGTTCTATATAAATGTTACTAACATGCAGGTAAAATTGTTATATGTGTATAAATCTTTTCATTTTAAGTTTGTCATTTCATTTGAATTACTACATTATTAGCAGGCAGGTTTGACTTGCAATATAAATTTTTAATTTATTCATTTAGCTGTTCATTAACAAGTCCGGTGCTTTATAATATATTTAAAGGTGGTAAGGACGTGAAGAAAACAGGTTTGTAAATGATGTTGTACATCATGCAGATAGCTCAGAAGTGGAAGTAAGTTTTTTTTTTTTAATTACAAAAATAAATATATAATATAATTTTGTTGCTGCCTTGTTCTATATAAATGTTTCTAACATGCAGGTAACATTTATACATGTATTAGTTTGAATAAATCATTTTAATTAAGTTACATTATAAGCAGGAATGTTTGACTGGAAATATAAACGATGTTGACAACATCGTTACAACAGTTGTACATAATGCAGATAGCTTAGGCAAAAAAGAGGTAATAATCTAATAATTGTTATTTATAAATAATGATATATTCATTGCTACTTTTTTCTATATAAATGTTACCTAACATTTGGCAACATTCATAGTTGTGTATAATGCCTAATTAAAAAGTAAGTTATAATAGATAATAATTATTTGTAAAATGAATCAGTAAATTAAGAAAACTAGTTAGAATGTATATAATAGTTGTATGATGTATTGTCTAGATTGGTGAAAAGGAGAATGAGACTAACTACGGTGAAAAAATAATGAATATCAAAATGTGAATGATACTTTGTTTGACATCTACCTGTTTTACAGACACAATGCAGTCGCACTTATAAATGGGCTTGATGTTTTTTTGGATTGAATATGTTGTATTGATGGCTCTTTTTAACTTGTTAAAACTTTAAGTTATAATCAAATTTATATATACTATTTTTATCAAATAGCTAATATAAAATAATAAACATGTAAATTGTTTTATTTTCTTTACAAAAGTTTTTCTTGATATATTTCAATTGTTTATCACTATGTATATCACTTATAGTATTATATTACTAGTAATTTTTTTTTTTAATTTATTTTCAGTATGTTATACATATGTATGCATTAAATATTGTGGGGAACTCAAGTTTTGATGTTTTAGGTGCATTATAGCTATTTTTTTTTTAAAGATTTGTAGGATTTAACAAGATTTAAATTTTATTTTGTTTATTGATTTTATTCGAAGAAAGCGATCTCATAGATTAAGAGAACTCAATAATATTAGTGTGATAAAATTTGCTTTTATGATTTAATATGAGAATTCAAGTAACATTAGATCAAAAAAACTTGAAAACAAATCATGCTTTTTTACCATGAAAAATCCATGAGTTTTCCTTGAAAAGGTGTTCCTAACAGCTATGAAAATTTCATGGTTTTTTCGGAGGATGAAAATCTCATTGAATATCTATGGTATTTGGAACACTTTTCCATGAAAAACTCATGGAATTTTTCATGAGAAACTCACGGGTTTTCCATGGAAAACTCATGGGTTTCCTATAGGAAGCTCATGGATTTTCTATGGAAAACTCATGGGTTTTCATTAAAAACTCATGGGGATCCCATCGGAAACTCATGGGTTTCCAATAAAAAAACTTATGGGTTTCCCATGAAAACGTGTTCCAAATAACCATGGTTTTTCCATGGGTTTTTTTCATGGATTTTTTCATGAGAATTTTCTGTAAGGGATGTGTCTATTATAACTATCTTTTCATTGCTTGTATTAACAATGTTGCAATATTCATAGTATGTGTCACATAAATTTTTCTTCAGTTTTTAGAACACATATGTATTCCAAAAACTTGACGTTTTTTCTTCAGATTTTCGGTAGTTTTTGAATAAAAATATTTTTTTACCGTCATCATCTTAGATCCAAAAGTTATCAAATATTCCTTGACGCTCAATCTCATTTATATTAGTAGAGCGTTTGAACTTAAATTTCTGCAACTTTTTAGCGTTACCAAATATCTTTCTGGAACTTTTTCTCCTTTCAAACTCTGATAAGCTTTATTCGACTGACGTTGTGTTTTTTATATATTTTGTTTCCAAGTACTAGTATCAGTTTTACGTTTCCTAAATACTCCACCATGAAAAAGTGGTCAAGGTTTGGACGAGAAAGTGTCATACCGAGAAAGTGTCATACCAAGAAAGGTGTTCAAGCGGTTCTAAAGATTAAAATACTCCGTTAACTTTTTTATTTGAATATCCAAGATGCATAAACAATAAATTATCTATTACATTTAATCAAAATGGCCCTAAATTACACAGCTTAGTTCTACTTTTCCAAATTCATTGCATAAATTATGTAAAAAAATTACCTTCGTTTTGAATCACAACACATTTCATTTCTTGATTAATATTTTTAGCAGTCATTTTGAAAACAACACAATTTCTTTGTACAACTATGTAATTGTAAATATATGATTGTTTGATCTGAGAAAGAATAAGAATAATATAAACTTGAAAATATTTTTTTTAAGTTTACACATTTAGAAGATTGAATAATGCAATATGGCATGCAACACCATGTTAAAAGTTTCATATGTTTCAATTTAAATAAAATAAAATACTGCTAAATTAATCAAAAATGTTAAAACTTCCAAATTTTTTAAAATTGGAGATAAAACAGAATAATTCTAACGTCGCAAAATAGCAACGTTAGAATAATCATGACCAACAATTTAGATTTTGAGAGGTATAATACTGTTTTATCAGTGATAGTTCTTCTAATTGAATAGTTCTTTTTTTCCTATGTGACTAATAAAATCGTAATTCTTCATCCTCATTTTATTGTTTTTCCAGTAGTGAAAGCACTATTCATATTGGAATTTATGGTTAAAGACAATACTTGAAAATATTTCTTAAAGACAACAGTAATAAATATAAGTGCGATTGTGCTTCTGTTTTATTTGACTGCCATCAAGCGAATATAGATTCATACATAATTACTAAAGTTGCTCAATCAGGCACCTTATTTAGTTTCAATCAACACATCTAGTTTCTTATTCGGAATTAAAACCTGTAAAGACACGTGTTTGTCACAATCCAGGCTTAAACCAAAAACACATGTATATTAAAAGCAGTTTTACTCGAGTTTAACACCATGTATTTTTTTAAGGTTTTTAAAGTCAAACTTAAATGTCTTATGCTTTTATCAGTGGTTTCACATTTTTTAAGGAAATTTATTATAATATACGTTTCCGTAAGGGTGAAACAGTAAATATTTTAATTGGTATTTATGGTAAATACAAATAGTTAATTTCACGGTATAAAACCCATTCTTAGCTCATGTTATTCTTTTTGTTTTATAAGGTTTTAAACACGCAAGAGAAACCTAGCGTAACTTTTTCTGAGTTATACCGTCCAAATCTATCTAATTTCTTTAAACTTCTATAATACTCAAGAAAAATCTAGAATGTTTCAGAGATTTCTTTACAAATATATATTTTTTTACTTTAGGTGCCCCAAAACGTTCTTACAATCATATCACTGAGCAACGTGGAAGAGCATTTAAAAGGAAGTTTACGCTTCTTTCATTACCGACGTTAAAAAACTAAAGCTCATAGGTGTTGTTAAACAATGGATCTCTATTGCCGAGGCAAGCGCTATCCACTGCACTATGGCTTCGTGTATAATTTGCAAGGACTTCCAGAAGATTATTCGATCTTATTAAAAAACCCTCTATATTATCAAATATAACAATAACAAAAAGTTAAAAATAAAGCAATAAAATTATGCCAACATACATAACTATTCATATAAAATATAAATATACTGGATAAAACGTCTGTTAAAAAGATAGCTTCTTTAAATTTCCGTTTAAAAGAAATAAAAGCGCATTTCAAAGACAAATAAAAATTGGGCAAATTTAGGCGCAGTCCTTTAATTACATAAAAAAAGGACTGCGATAAGAAATAAACAGCTCTTATAGTTTGGCAGAAAGATTCTTAGAGATTTTTTTCCATTACGATAATTGCATTTGTATAAGGGTTTTACATTATGAAGGTTTATAAAATACATTTTGAGATAAATAGTTTTTACATTTAAATAAAAAACATAAAATATTAAAAGCATTTAGTTCGTATATATATAAAAAAAACGGATGCATACGTATAAATACAAATGTATACATTTGTATGTATACGTATTCATCTGGATTGCGGAATGAGAAAAAAAAAGATGAAAGATTTTGTTGATTCTTGAGGTTTTACTTGCATGACCCAAACGATTTTTTCTCACACATCTGTGAAGCTATCCTCCAGTATTTTCCAAAAAAATTCTTACTAACAAAATTAATTCAACCATAATTTGAGCGCTATGATCTAAAAGTTTGCCAATTCTAGTAGGATATACCACGAATATTTAGTCTTGATGATATAAACTAGTTGTAGACAATAATTTTAAAATTTGATAGGATCAATTTAAATTTAACAGGACAAAGATATTACATTGTTCATTAATACTTTGTTCTTAAATGGAAAAAAGATTTATATCTTTATCCAAAATTTCTGAAAACAATTTTAAATAAAGGTCACCGTGCTGTATTGCAATTGTAAGATAAAACCAGTGCCACCTGAATGGGGTTCGTCTGCGTGTAAATTTAATTTTTCTTAAAATATTTTTTGTATAAAACATTTCCGAGCTTTTACAAGTCATACAATTTTTCACTAATTTTATTAAGTAAGATCTTAATTACTATTTATTGAAGACTGGCAAAAAAAATTTTTTTTTTCATAAACACTTATAGAACCTTCACTATCCGGCATATCCGGTATAAATAGAAAAGTTCACTATCTGGCATATCTGGCATAAATATCCGGTATATCTCTACTAATATTCAATTTATACGACAAATAATGGGGATATTCCATGAAAAAAAATCTAGCGATGAAGTGGACTTATCCCAATGAGTACAAATGTTTTCTTATTGTTAAATAATTTGTTCGTGTAGTTTTCAATGTTACTCATTAGGGGTTGTCCATAAAGTACGTAGGCTCATAGGGGGAAGGAGGAAGGTCTTTAAAAAGCGTACAAAAGCGTATGGGGGAGGGGGGAAGGGTTCAATGTAAAAGTACGTACATCGATTTTCTAATTTATTAGAATTAACCAGCTAATCAATAGAAAGTTAAATTCTGACTAATGATCCTAGTTCTACAACATAAAAAGATGTTTGGTATATAGAGTAGAGGGTATAGTTTCCCTCAATACACACACATGCATGGGGGCTCGCAG